CCTGGCAAAGCAACTTATTTCAAATACCATAGCTGTGAGTAGAAGAAATTCTGTTTTGTTGAATTCTTAGAGTGCTTGTGCTCACACTCATGCTTGCATTCGCTTGCTTGCTTTTTTGCACACTCTCTCTCCTTTTGGTGTAGTGGGGAAGAGAATATATATACATATTACAATTTTCAAAATGTTTTATTACTTGAAACTGAAGTAGGTTGAAATAATCCAGTAATTGTTACTTTATTCCTGTGTCAAGCTAAGCATGTTCATGATTGCATTACACAAAACAAAAGAAAATAACCCTTTGAAAACGCAGAAAACTGAGAACCTCAAGTGAGACTCTTCTTTTTTCCAAGCAAAAGACCCAATTGAAACGAAGACCACTGAATTCTGTATTTAATCAAACATGACAGGTAGCTGCAAGAGATCTTAAACTACAAACTATCTGGAAGAAATAATAGCCAGAATCATTTGAGTGCAGCCTTAGATTTGAACATATAGCTGTTAATGTATTTACAGGTTGAGCAGGTATCTTTCTTTTGACTACTACCTAACTCAGAAAAGAGTCCCATTGAGATGAGTAGACTATTTGACAGAAAAGGGATTTGAAATTAAGGGAAAGTTTAGAATCTGAATGATTAGAAGGTAGAATTATTTCACTATTGTTTGGTTATATTAAGGAGAATATTCACCTTCCTTAGAAATACTTCAGGTTCTAGCCATTGCCGTAAGTAGAATTACTGGGCTTGAAATGCAAATGAATTTGATCCAGAATAAGTTAGTGAGTCCTAAGGATGAGATGGTTCCCTCACAGGGGTTTTACTTGATCTCTACTGTAACTTCCAAATGGAACACTGATTAAGGGTACATGCGCACATTCTCTGTACCTGCTCTAGGATCATGTGGCTTGCTTTAAGCTGCACAATCATGCATCAGGCACAATGCATGCACATGTTCACCAGTGCCAGGAGCCATTCCACTAGGAGCCATTATTGCTAGGTAACAATTCCTGAGTTATTTCAAACCAGATCAGTTTCAAGCAATAAAATATTTTAAAAATATATAAATTGCACATAATCTAAGTAAGTGAGGGTGGTGGGATTTGCAGGGTTTGGTGGGCTCAGAGAGGGTCTGTGAGGAAGTCAGTGGGTCCAGATGTGGGGAGGCTGGAGAGCTAAAAATAGCCTGGTTAGGGTAGGGGTGGGTAGGAAAAGCATAGCTGTAGGACTGGGGAAAGGGGCTGGTGTTTCCCAGCCTTGGGGATGCACTCCAAATATGTATAGACATTCAGTAGATTAGTCTAACCGGTTTCTGATCCAGGTTAGATCAGGCCAGCCATTTTTAGCTTTATCGAACCTCCCTAAATATATGTACAGTTGGTCTCTCGTGACCTGACCCCAGTTAGGTTGATCTGAATGTAATGTCTGCATGTACCCTAAGGTGCTAACTTTGGGATTTAGGAGACAGATTCAATTCTCAGCTCTTGTACGGAGTCCTTTAGGTCCTTCGGCAAGTTATGTTGTCTCTCTGCAGCCCAGAGCTCTGTCTGAAAATAGGAATAATAGTTATGGCCTACACTACCTGGGATAAAAAAATACATTAAGGATTGTGAGGTGCTTTGGCCTCCACTTTAGTGGAGGCTATTAACATACATAAAACTAGACTGATTAGGGAAGTTCCAAGTTTTGGAGCAGGGTCCATATCTTCCTCATCTGAATAGCGTCCACCATGCTTAGCATGTTTAACAAGTACAAGAGTTTGAGGGGAAGAAAGACCTTTTTTTGTCTTTTAAAGCACTAAGATCTCATGAAAGTGTAAAACTGAAATATTTCAAGCATTAAACTTCTGATGAAACTGTGCGGGCCGGGAGCGACCCGAGCCCTCTTTCGCGCTGCACGCGGACTGTGGCCAGCAGCCCGGGCACGCTGGGGCGGAGAGGGAAGGTCTTCGAGCTGGAATTAGGCACGGACGCATAGCAGTAGTTTTAAAAGATTGTTTACTTACACCGAGATGGCAGTGGTGTAAGCTGGAAAGCTTGCTTAAGTTGCGGTTACAGAGAGAAAAGAAAACAAAACTCGAACCTGCAGGGCACGAGGGTACGTCGCATATGGTTCCGGCGACGGGAAGATGAAAAATATGAAGGTACGTCGCAAAGGGTTTCGGCGACGGGGAAAATAGACCTGCAGGACTCAAACCCAGGTAGAAGAGCTCTGGAGTCGTCCGGCAAGGACTCACACGAAGTTTGCTAGGCTCCGTGGGTCCGTCTGCTACACGAAGTTTGCTAGGCTCCGTGGGTCCGGTTCGTAGCGTGCGGGAGGGATACGTCTAGGAATCTATCGGCGACGGGGAGAGGCTAGAGGCTGATCAGACCTCCGTTGCCTGCTTGAAATGCGCTGGGTCTGCAAGGATCCGCATCACTTAGAGATCTTCACACAGCGTGAAGTCTCCTCCTCCCTTGTTCGTGGAGTCCTCCAACTTGGGCGGAAACCACTCAAGCCTCTTATACAGCTAGCAAGCCAATCACTAGCCGCCACGTGTGAATAATTTAGAACTGGCCAATAATGGGACCCGAATTAGCATACAAATGGTGGGAACTCTTTGCAACGAGCATCTCTGTGCTGCAACAAAGAAATGCACCCTGCAAAGAAAGCTTCAAATTGGCGGGAAATTCTCCCTTGCACCGGGGTTCTCTTTTGCAGCAGAAAACTCCACCGTGCAAGGAAGCTGCAATTTAGCGGGGACAATTTAGCAGTGCCGAAGCGCACACAAACAAAAATCACACCTTTTGGGTTGTGACAGAAACTTTTTTAAAAATGTAATTAAAACTGCAACCATTTTTTCCTGATTAATGACAGATGCTTCATATATACTCTGACTTCATTTTTGTTCTCTCTCAAGGAGTAGAAACATCTTAGTTGGTCACTATTAATGTAAATTCTAAAATGTCTCTTTGAGGAAATTAAGGATTTCATAACAGATGCTGAAAAGGAAGAGAAATGAATTTACATAAATAAAAAATCCCCTGTAGATAGGGTTTGATAATACACTCCGTATTTAATCTCCTCAACTGATGCATCATTTTGGTGTGCTATTTTTAATAGGCACCTCATTTCATCCAGAGAGAGCTGCATCTCAGTGGTTCTGTGAAGTGATTCCTGTATAATTTTAAAAACAGATTATAGCACACTTAGAAGGCCACCTGAATAGAAGATGCAATATAGCAAAAGTAATTATATTGTTGTTAATCTTGAAGAAGAGAGGCTGCTGGCAGGTAGACACATGAAATCTTTTTAAGTATAGTTTTATTCTGAATAAAACTCACTCTATACAGCTATCACTATTGGGGTTCCAAGTTTGTGTTACAGTGACTTCCAGATTAAATTTGTTCATATTAGAAACAAAAAGATACTATTGAAAATTGCCAGTGATCATGATTCAGAGGCATGTCACCTTTGACCTTCCCCACTGTCTCTTTCAGGTATTCTTGCCAAGTGAAGGTCTCTACCTGAACTGTTTCCAGAATGTCCATATTTTATCTCAGTTTAAAATAGCTCACCAGACTACAACATCCTCTCTTCCCACTGTATTGCCACAATTCTAGTTTGAACACTGTCAGAGAGTCCTTTGAAGTCCCTCACAGTTTCTCTGGTGTCAGGGTTTTGGTGACCAGGAATCTTTCCTTACATTTCTCTGAAGAAAGAGTTCTAACACTGTTAAATGGTAGCCTCTTTTTTTTTTTTCTGAATGACAGTCTCAATTGTCTTTAGCATCTGTAAAGCATTTCCCTCTGGGAGTGTATGATTCAAGTAGTTGATTAAAGTGACTCAAAAACAACTTTTTCAAAACAAACCTTGTTTTATTTTCCTAAAGGTTGATAATGATCAAAGGGAAAGATTCAAACAACAGCAGACCATGTGAATCTGGTCTCACCTAACTTTATCTTTTTCTTAAGAGTTTAATAGTTTTCATTTAGCTCAGTAATCTACCTTGGTTGGCAGAACAAACTGTACCCCTGAAATCTTCATTTTTCTTAGTCTTGCATGTGGTGTCTCTTTCC